ATGCCTAACAAGGCTGAAGCGATCGTCTGGGGTTGCTGTATCTCTCGTGCAGAGAGAACTTGCTGGCATTTCGGATCTGGACTGCCCGTATGGGTGGGACCAGTCTGATATGCTTCAGATATGTTCTCTCTGTAATGGCACAAGTTGAGCTAAAACCAGCTTGAGTCCTGAGCGGGGACCCACCGAAGAGCAGGCTATTTTAGCGGCTGTCTGTTCTCAGAATACTCTTGCGACCCATTTTTGCTCTCCATTAGTTTAAAGGGTAATCCAGACGTGGACCCCTTGCTCACGGTGCCTAGAGAGATATCAGCTATGCCTAACTGACGATGCCTAACAAGGCTGAAACGATCGTCTGGGGTTGCTGTATCTCTCGTGCAGAGAGAACTTGCTGGCATTTCGGGTCTGGACTGCCCGTATGGGTGGGACCAGTCTGATATGCTTCAGATATGTTCTCTCTGTAATGGCACAAGTTGAGGTAAAACCAGCATGAGTTCTGAGCGGGGACCCACCGAAGGAGGCAGGCTATTTTAGCTGCTGTCCGTCCTCAGAATACTCTTGCGACCCATTTCTTGCTCTCCATTAGTTTAAAGGGTAATCCAGATGTGGACCCCTTGCTCACGGTGCCTAGAGAGATATCAGCGATGCCTAACAAGGCTGAAACGATCGTCTGGGGTTGCTGTATCTCTCGTGCAGAGAGAACTTGCTGGCATTTCGGATCTGGACTGCCTGTATGGGTGGGACCAGTCTGATATGCTTCAGATATGTTCTCTCTGTAATGGCACAAGTTGAGCTAAAACCAGCTTGAGTTCTGAGCGGGGACCCACCGAAGGGCAGGCTATTTTAGCTGCTGTCCGTCCTCAGAATACTCTTGCGACCCATTTCTTGCTCTCCATTAGTTTAAAGGGTAATCCAGACGTGGACCCCTTGCTCACGGTGCCTAGAGAGATATCAGCTATGCCTCACTGACGATGCCTAACAAGGCTGAAACGATCGTCTGGGGTTGCTGTATCTCTCGTGCAGAGAGAACTTGCTGGCATTTCGGATCTGGACTGCCCGTATGGGTGGGACCAGTCTGATATGCTTCAGATATGTTCTCTCTGTAATGGCACAAGTTGAGCTAAAACCAGCTTGAGTTCTGAGCGGGGACCCACCGAAGGGCAGGCTATTTTAGCTGCTGTCCGTCCTCAGAATACTCTTGCAACCCATTTCTTGCTCTCCATTAGTTTAAAGGGTAATCCAGACGTGGACCCCTTGCTCCTTTTTTTTTTTGTAATTGGGGTAGCCCCCAAAATATTGGGACATACAAAAAAATAAACATTTGTGGCCTGCGGTGCATTTCTTGCAGTCCTGATGCATGGAGAAATGCTCAACTCCTGATGCATGGAAAAAAGGCCTTCACAAGCCTCTACTATTGTGTACATAGTTTATACTAAGTGACCCATAGGTTGAGGAGGCGGTGACCGTGGTGGTGTAGGTGGAAGCGGCGGTGGAGGAGGCGGAGGTATCCAACACTGTTTATATATATATATTTTTTTATTTTAATTGGGGTAGCCCCCAAAATATTGGGTCATATAAAAAAAGAAAACTGTTCCGCAGAGCGACTGACCCGTGCGTGTTGCATCTGAAACTCCACTATCGCCTGCTGCTGCTCGCACAGTCTCATGAGGCGGTGAACGGGAAGCTCGAAGTTACGCTGCAGCGAAGACAGGCGAGCAGCAGCAAGGTGAGAACGCCAAAAGCGCGCACAGACGGCCCGCACTTTCTGCAGTAGCTCTGATATATATGGGTATACACCGTGGCATCACAAGGGCCACCCAGAACTGTCTCAACTCCCATCAAGCCAAGTTCCCGGTGGAGATCACCCAGCTCGTCATGCTAGAGCACTTTTTCAATGTGCTCCCCACTATCGCCTGCTGCTGCTCAAACAGTCTCTCCAGCATGTGCAAGGTGGAGTTCTGCAGCGCAGACAGGCGAGCAGTAGCAGGGTGAGAATGCTGAAAGTGTGCACAGCCACTACAGTGAATGTCACATCCTGTTCCAAGTTGCGGATCAGTCTGGTGATGGCTTCTGGTATCCAGTACTCTTTTTACTGAAGCTGCATCAGGGTCCTGGTATGTGGCTGCACAAACGCTGGTGCTCAACACCAGGGGGCGTGCGGTTACCCTGCACCAGACCCTGCTAATCCATTCCACACTGTGACTCCTAACTTCTACATCAGGCATACTAGGCATACTAGGTCCCGGTCGTCCAACTGCTGCCCAGACAGTGTCTGGGTCCCAGTCACTGGACTGTGAAACTGCAAATGGCTCGTTAAATCTGTTATGGTTTTTTCTATCGCTTCAACTGTTACTTGGATAACTGTGGGAATTCTAAAGATAATACATGCCGACGAGCGCTAGGGGACGCTTCTGCACCATGCTCCCTCTTATGCTGTGCTGGTGCCTCTGTGCGACCAGCGCCTCTTCCTCCAAACTGCACACATCACTCGCATGACCTTGATTCCATGTGGCGTCTAGGACCTCATCATCCTCCACATCATCTTCCACCCTGCCCTTCTTGCTGGTATGCACACTGCAGAAAGCCACAGCAGTTGGCACCTGTGTTTTTCCAGCATGTAAAGTCTGCAAAGGACATATGGAAATTGTTTCAGAATTGTATCCAGGCAACAGTTTTTCCTATAAACTGACCTCTCAGTTTGACTTTTGAGGGTATTGCCCCAGAATTACCATATTGTTTAAGTACCTCTTAGCTATTGATAACTGGTTTAAATATAGCAGCTTGTTATCTGGTAGTTTCTAGTGTAGAAAATATCAATCTGTTTTCTATCACTTAGATCTGTGTAACAAGTGTTGTAGGTGTGAAACAATATTTGACTCTCAGATATGAAGTGCACCCCACTAATGTACTAGTTTGCAGAATTATTTCCTAAGCTGTCCCTCACAGCGGCAGCATCCTCTCCCTATACTAATAAGACCTCATGTGCGTGCGGCGCTACGCGACTCCAGCTTATATATAGAGGCTGGGTCACATGGCTTCTAAGGGCACACGAGTCAAACGCTTGTTAATTGGCTGCCTTTGAAAACGCGCCGAACATACAGTGATTATGTCCGTGTTCGGGTCCGGGGTCCAAAAAACGTAATGTTTGGTACGAACCCGAACTTTACAGTCCGGGTTCGCTCAACTCTACTTGAGATGTATGACTTGGGCTGTTATTTAACTCCTTAACAGCAATGTGCTGAGAAGTTGGACGGCTGGGCCATGATCTATACACCTATGCTTTTCTATGAGCTGCAATTGATTATGTTTGACGTCGCCATGTACATCAAATGTCACGTCTGTGTGTTTAACCCTTTAAGGTAAACATTGACATTTCTTAAAAAAAGGCAATGTTTTACATAAAAAGGTTAAAACTACAGGGCCACTGCACCCTGACCGCTTCATTGAGATTACGTGGTCTGGGTGCATTCATTGGTCCTTTAAATATGTGTAAACTAAATATTTGATAACTTGCAAAACCTATTTCCTACGGCACAAAGATTTTTAATTTTTATTTTATGTCTTATGAGAGGACAGTTCACTTCTCCCAGTAGTATCTGCTTATATCTTCATATAAATGTATTTGTAATTATTACTTTCTAACTGTACAGAGCTGCAGATCTAGAAGCCTGATAAATAATTGATGATAGAAATAAAACAACCTTGTCTTGCTAGTGTCATGTGATGTGAATTATACATGCCTTACCTTGCAGTTCCAGAAGCACTGTTTTCTCCTGCTCTACACTGCAGCTGCTCATTATTAAAACTGTGCAAGTCATGGTGATTTATCACACAGATAACTCAGTTGTGTTATATAATAGTGACATGGCCTGAAAAACAACCTTATCTATACATAACATTTCAGTTCTACTAGATTTTTAAAAAAAGGCTTATTTTAAGATCAACATAATATTTTGCTTGCTTTTGTAACCTGATATTATTTTAAGTGACGTACATGTATT